CGGATAAGAACAGAGATAATAAAGATATAAAAAAAATTTTTTAAGGCTAACAGTATTAGTTTTGGTAGAATTTTTCATAATGAACGTTTAAAAACACTTAACTAGTATCGAATCACCGTTTTATTATTTCTGTATCATGTTGTATCGGCTATCGTGTATTAGAGATTTTATTTGAAAATTCTAGATACATAGTACGGGATTTGTGCTTACAAGAATTCAACTATCGGTTACTAAATATTCCGCACAAAGTAAATTTACAAAAATTTTTAGAAAATCAAGAGTCCGTTAAATTATTTTTGAAAATAATTTTAAATTTTGAAAATCAAATATTTACTACATTCAATGCAAACAATAATAAAACAAGTAAAAACAGATGCGAAAATTAATATTTCTATTGAAAAGATAAAAAAAGTTTAGGTTCTTCTAATATTTTTTATTTATTTTTATTTATGGTCCAATTGATATAAATTTATTAAACAACTTATGACAATTTCGATTAGACAATTACAACGCATCCAATTCAACTTGATTGAAAATTTGCAAATTCCAACACTTCTGTGTGTTATCAACACATAACATTTCCCTTAATTTAGCATGCACTTAGTAGTGTATTTATATTGGAACAATTTTATGCTAACGCTTTTTGCAATAATACACGTAACAACAACAGTATAAAAAACTCACATTTTTAACCTTGCAAACGTTTGGACATCTTTTTTAACATTCATTCACTCAGTCCCTTTCTTTTCTACTGCCAAAGATGATTTAAACACAGTGAGTAACACAACTTCTTATAGTTATTAAGAAACATGGACTGTTACTGCGCTGTAACTTACATATACCTATATGAGTATGCGAAAGGATGAATGTAAGTAAACAACAAGCCAATGAAATATTATTGTGTGCGTTTACGAATATATGGTAAAGTCTTAAAGTCCTTAAGCTAACCAAAATTATACGCAACCCTTTCGGCAGCAGAAAACTTAATAATTTCATAATTGCTCCCCTTCGAATGAACTGCAGAAAAATGTTGGATGCACTAATACGGCACTGTTTTATAAGGTCAGACGCACCAATGTTGTGCTTGATTAAAGCGACAATTTTAGAATACGTGCTATGTGCACGCCCGGCTTTATCATTTGCACTATTTATGGAACATGTCCGAACGGCATGGCGTCATAGTTGCTAGCGAAGCCGAAAATCAGTTCGAAATCAATTTCAATATGAAAGTATAATAAGTAACTAATTGACACATATCTTACAATTTCTATAATATATGTATGTATAAACTATTTTCAAAAAAATATTGCACATCAAGAGTTTTCAGTGAGTTTTTTTTATACATAACATTGTTCACATTGGCAATGATTGGTGGCAACATCAATGCAGTCATATGGAGCACTTAAATGTACTCATAATTTTATGTGTACCATACATTTCCTGTTATAAGCAATAGTAACAGGAACTACACTTGTACTTCTCACAGAGATTTGTGCTGCAACAATACAAAATGCTCCCGACAAAATTCGTACATTATCATAAGCAACAGCAACAGCAACAAAAACAGTAACGCTGGTAAGCGGCAAGTCTGTATCCAGAGAAGCACATTCTGATACCAGAACCACTAACGATGAACGAACCGAACCTACCAAATAGTCTACCTTCTGCCTAGCATTAAACCCCGGGTGAGATATTAATGTATTGGAATAAGGTAGTCGTCGATGTCGATGTGGATGTGGATGTTGATGTGGATTCGCACGCACGAGAAGTTACTCACATGCTGCAGCCGCCATCATTGCCGTTGACACTCCTACCACCCAACTCCACCAACATATATGAATATTTTTACTGCAACAACAACGGCAGCTATGATAACAACAACAACAACTACAACAACAAGCAATATGTAGAGTTTACTTGAATTGAATTCAATTCGATTGTGATGCGATGCGATGCGATGCAATGCAAATGTGAGGCAATATAGCAAATTTTTTTTTTGAAAGTCTAAAGCTTCGTAGAGAAGCAGGAAATGTATCGACAGACACATATACATACCGATATATATATATATATATACGCACACACATTTGTATAGAAAGATACTATATGTATGAGGGAGTTATTAGACCAAATGAGACAACACATAACATAAAGTGAATAAGGTAAGCATTATTTATAAGTGCCGCACATATGTACATGTGTGAGTGCATGTAGAAATCTTTTGGACAATTCGTGGGACTCAAGTAAAATAAAAAAATGTTCAATTCATTTTCAAAAACAAACAAAAACTTAAAGTATTAACAATAATAAATTTGAGAATTTTTTTTTATTAGTATTAAACATTAGTAAATATAATATAATAATGTATATTCATAATCAACTTGATTATACAATCTAATTTATTATGGGGTCAACATTTTCAAATTTTCAGTTATGCTCCACACTCTATAAACCAATTGTGAGAGCGTAAATTCTTGATTTTTTTTTCTTGCTGCTTGCTTTTTGCTGTTCTTGTTTTGGGTTGTAGTGTACAGTTAGTGTTGTTGTTGCTGCTGGTGCTGTTGCTGTTGCTATTTGTGTTGTTTGTGTGTCGTTAAATAAATGTACACATATTTTGATTTTGTAGATCGTAATGTATCGCGCAGAAATTGAGCTGCTGCCACAATTCTGTTGCCGTTTTGTTGCTTTTCTGTTGCTGTGACTGCACTCTTTAATGTTTTCAATGCTAGAAATTTCGATGAGACGTCGTAAACTTTTTAGTGTAGATATGTTTGCATGTGATTATGTTTATACGGCTGTGTATCCGCAGACGCAGAAGCGGGTAAGTAGGTAGATATGTATGCACTAGTTGTATGTTGTATGTCGTTTTTATAGCTCTTCTAGATACGAATTTTATTTTAAAACGAAGTAAGCAAAGTGAAATTAAATCCGTTAAAGTAGCGCAATTTATTTTCTTTACAGTTCTTTTTTATTATGTATAATTTTTATTACCACGTATGCATTTGCTGCGATAGAAACAGCAAAAAAAAATTACTAAATTTTAATGACATTTGATTTCCTGAAGTTTAACTTTATTAAATAATACACAAACAAAAAAAAACGAAAAAAAATATCTATGTTTTTAACTGAAAGTCCATATGACAAAAGGAATGGTCTGTTTTGTCATAATTATGATAATTATTTATCTACACGGAAAGGCGTAAGCAATTTTAACTTCAAAAACAAACTATGAGAATTTTATAAAATAAAATTTCATAAATAATGATAATATGTTACGACGAAGAGGCTATTTGCAAGTTCTGTTATATAGTTGTTCTTGTGGAGGCCTAATATATAAATAAGAACTAAGAGATTTAAAAATGGAAAATAGTCAAAAATATAAGGAAGCCTTTGAATCCAAGATTACGAAACACACAATCAGGATTTTTCAATAAGCGCCTTTCATTATGAAGTTTTCGAGTATAGTTTAAATATTAATTAAATTGTAATAAGTATGATCTATAATTAACTAAGAGTGATTCGAAACCCATATCGATATTACCTTAACTACATTTAAATTATATAAGGACCGACATGAGTTACGAAATGCGATCCCATACAATGCCATAGTTATTATAAATCAAACTTGTTTCATTTATTGAACAAATTTTAAACAGTCTCAGTTAGTTAGTGTAATGAAAATTAAGTAAGAGTTTAAGAAGTGCATCTTAAAGTAATTATATGTAAATATGTATATACATACATTAGTAATATGTAGTTAAGCTTCCCTAACACATACAATTTGATTTCTTTTCAAATAGGAACTAAGCTTTAGTTTCAATCCTAGTGCTCTATTATTGTTGGGGAACATGTGTTCTGGTTTATTTATATTATATATGCATACTTAAATACACAGCATATAATGTCCTACGATGTTATACCAGTTCGACTTTTACCAAAAAAACCGACAAACGAACTCAACTCAGTTTAGATAAAGTCAATGCAGGTAAGTACTGTGAATAGACTTAAATTGGATCCAAGAAGTTTTATGATCTAAATTATGTACATAATCACAAATCGCTTCAGGTGATTAGGCATTGCCAGCCACATCACAGATTTATACATATTTCGTTTGTCGCGACTGCAGAGAATACTCTTTTCAAACAAAATTTGCGTTTAGTAAGAAGTTTTAAATTCCAATTACCATTTTAGTAAAGCATATGACATTCAAATATGTGAACATTAATTTTTAAGATAAATTGAAATACTTTCGTTGGCATTTTAAAAATAATTTGTTATCATTTTTCATGGACGTAAAATCAAACAACAAAATTTATATATACCAAAATTTATTTAGTTTATATTTTAATAACCAATATTCTCAACACAACACACTGACAACTTTCACTCATAAATTTTTCATTAAACAACAATTATTTATACTCCTTATTATATTAAAGTGCACCACTTAAATATTTAATAAAAACCTAAATCATTGCATTAATTGGCACAGCTGCGTGTGCATGTATATATATAAAAATATATGGATATATAAATTTTGATTAACAAGTATAATTTGCATTCGTTTTTAACCTCAATGTATGTAGATAAACTCTACGCATCAGCACCCCACAGTATAAAAACTAACTATCGAAATTTCGTCTTTGAACATAAAACAAAAAGCAGAAACAAAAAAAAACCGAAAATTGAATGGAAATGTGGACGCAAAAGACGTCTACAAACAGAAACAAAACCATAAAAAATTACTTTTAAAATACAAAAGCCACGGAAAAAAACACAAAGAGCGCCAACGCCAACAGAGCAGAGCTCCGCAATCGGCTGCTTTTGTCTGCTGCTTCAGACCGGTTAAACAGCCACTTTTCAAAGAGAGAGCAAAAAATATAAAAGAAAATGACAGCAGCAATTAAAATAATATAATTAAATTTTTCTGATTACTCTGCACTAGCTATTTAAGAAATTAATTATTTTTACAAAAATATTTATATGCGGATAACACTTACCACTTATATATGAAAATTATCCAATAATTCAGCAAAGCCTATTTAGAATTTGCTGAAAATTTTCTCAATCAACTTAAATTTTTTTCTTTTCACTTTGTGAATTTTTCTGCACTTGAAACACTTTTTACCATTATCTTTTTTTTTTTTGAGATATTTTACTTCACATTAACTTAATTTATTTTATTCTATACATACACTAATGCATGCAGAACTACTTTAGATTAATTTTTTTATTCAGCTATAAATTTATTCTTTCAACTGGCAAGATGACATTATTTGGAGTGTTTCCTTTTATTACTTTATACTTTTGCACATTGGATGTCGATATTTATACATATAAATTATTTATATCATTTACACAACGCATTTACATAATAATTTGCTTAATACCGCGGGATTTTGTTTGACACTCACTTTTTAATTATTCCAATAAATCAGATAATTTATTTAAATAAAATTAAGATTCACTACTGCGAGCGCCGCAAATCTGCCACCGTCAAAAACACAAAACATAATGCAAAACGATAACTATTAAAGAAGAGCCGAGTAAAAATGTACAATTGAACTGTTTTTGAGCCTTTGTGTAATATATCTATTTAAAATATCGATAACCAAGCATCCACACAATTTTCGCATTCATGGACACATTTCACAGAGTCACATATGCACGTATGATTTATGGAAAAATTTTCAAATAACATTTTACAATAATACCATGTTTATACGGATTATAGGATCATCCAACTTAGAACTTTGACTGAAAGTTAAATTCGTTCAAAACCTTTTCCTAAATACTCTGCTAAATTTTTGAGTTATCGATAAGTTTTTGCTACAAAAATGGCGAAATGACGGATATTTGAAGTAATATATTGCTAGTGCCAAGTTAGCAACGCTGCTATGGAAGCTGAATTGTTTTTTATGAAACAATTTTAAAAAACGATTTATTTGTTAAACTTTTTCAGATATATATAATATTTGAGTTTAAAGATTGAAGCGATATTTGTATCAAATAAATTTATCTGTTGTCAATACAGAGTTGCATTTGTTATTTTCATCAAAAATCGTCAACATAAGTAAGTTATTCATAAAAATATCTTTGCAAATACTTTTTCCAAAACTTCATCTAAAACTTTTTGTCTAATTTCGACATTTTATTTTATAATTTATTGATAGCGACACAGCTGATCGATAAAGTTTACATAAATATTTAATATTGCAATTATAATAGCTAAACATTTGGTTGAAAAAATTACGCTGATAAGTATTGTATTTTGTTCTGTCATAATTTATTGACAGCTGATTGATAAATTTAACCTTATTAATAAATGAGTACCCTTGTTATTTCGTATTGTTTCTAGTAATATTAAAACTGCTAAAATAGAAATAAAATGCATAAATTACACTTAAATAATAAAAAAAAAATAATGAAAGTGATTTAAATAACAATTAATAAATTGTTTAGACTATCGTTCTTAGCAAGTTTACGGATTTATTTTGATAGGCAGGTGGGTTCAGTTAAAACCGTTGCATTGTAAATACTGCCTTAAAGCAAATTGTAAACATAAACACGAAATTGAATTAATTTATAATTTTTTATTTAAAATCAATTCTATTTCATTAATTTTAAACAAGAATTTATAAATGAACTAAAATCCTATCTTTTTTTATATACAGTAATCGCAATGTTGTACAAATATTTTTATGCTCTTTTAAGTAATGCCAATGAATACACGGATAGATTAAAGTAACCACACAAAAATATACATATTAGCTTCTAAAAGGTGCAAATTTTGATATTTATTAGTAATAAAATTGAATTGAAATTATTTTTTTTCAAGTTTTCAAATTTTATCGAAAACAACATCAAATTCATATTTGACTGTCTACATAATATAGGAGAAAATAAAATGTCGCATCATATTGGAAAGCAAATTTATGTAAAACAATACTTTTTGTTTACTTTAGTGTGTTAAAGTTAAAGTGTAAAAGTGTTAAGTTAAAGTGTAAACACTTAAATTTCGCTGTGGCGAAAATTGTTTATTCGAGAGCAATTTTAAAGTTTACATTTACTATTATTTATAAAAGTAATGATTAATGATTTAATATTAACATTAATCACTTATTAAACGTGTTATGAACAGTTTACAAATAAAAAAATAATACAAACTAGTATAATAGTAAAATAAGATTTGTATAAAGTTAAATGACTTCGTTTATGTTGAATGCAGATATATAGTAAAAGAAAACAGACATTTGTATTAAAAACATTTAAAATTAATACGACCGCCGAAGAATTCAAACTTTGAATATGTGATTCATTTTATCTAAAGTAGTTTTGAGATAGATAAATTTATTTGCCTTAAATTAAATAATAACGAACTTAATAACAACGAAACGAAAACAAATAAACACAAAAAAATAGCTGGCGTTTGAAAGAAGACTAAAAGAAAGAGAGAGAGAGATAGAGGAAATTGACCTCATGATCAATTCATTGAGATATGATTCTACCTCTTAACATATGCAATATAATTATATAATATATAATAATATATAATAAAACGTAACACAAACGTTTTATACATTTCAAATCCACACGACCGCGGTAGATCTTTTTATCGATCTAAACTTAGCCATTATAGTCAATTTTTACCAAATTTAAATGCTTCTTAAATACCTAATTGTAACTATCGTACTTATGATAATTTATTTCGTGAGCAAATTAGATATTCGAATTATTCATCAGGAGTTTTTTAGTTCCAGCTCTAAGGATTTCAATAGTTTTTAAATGAGAAAAACTATCGCAAAAACACTAATTGATTAAAACAAGTAATTGAGTTTACACAAAAATAAGTAAGTTTCAAGCTTCAAGTTTTACGTTAGTGTAAACGCAACTTAACTGCTACTAGTGTGAATAGAGCCATAAGAACTTAATTTGATGATTTTATTTTATTTTTTACGTTATGTAATGCATAATATAATATTAAAACCTAAGTATTAGTTTTTTTATTTTTAACTGTGATATAACAATATATTGATTTTTTTAACGGATATGACCTAATTTTTCTCATTTCACGAGGTAATTGCGGAAATCTGCTAAGATGTTATTAACGCATGTAGAATACTGCTCTCATACTTTTAAATCGAGTAACGTAAATTAAAAACATGTTTCTTTAATTAGTTCTTTGAGTAACTAAATAATTATTTTATATTGTTTTAGACTTTATTTGCCTATTAAAGGGAATGATTTTTTGTATAAAACATTAAAATATATAATTGCACTAGTTTCCTTGTCAAGTCTGTAGTTAAATTTCTGTTTTAAACTTTATGCAAAGTTGTAAAATTTGTTTCCTGGTGTTTTAGATACTCTTTTCGGCATTCCATGCTGTCGGCAGGACGATTATAAGGTAACCATACAGGTTCCCCAATAAAATAGCGCTTCGCTTTTATATAATTCTGTAAAAAATAAAGATAAGATACTTTGAAAAAATTACAATATTCGTAACTCTTACATTGATGTCCAAAGTAAAACGATGATAAATTCCTGCTGGAATAATTATCAAATCTCCTTTTTCCACATATATTCGAATCCAGTTCTCCTCCGAACTGCCGGTTTTGTACGGAAAATGTAAAATGTGAAATGTGAAATTTGGTAATAATATTGATATAAATTAAAACTGATTACTAATTTAATCTATATAGTTAAGTTACTTTTGGTTTATAGTTTACATATAGCATTGCTTACACTTTTTGAATAGAATGAGTTTATTAGTTACCAAACTAAATTATAAAAACGAAGTGAATCTACTCTTTCATTAGTAATTATGTGATTTCTTTTCTTATATGAGAATAAGATAGACACATTCTAATCTGTTACACAATAAATTATCTTAAAAAGTAGTGGAATAAGAACTCAGTTGCTATTGTACTTACTCTCTAACATCGAAATAGCCAGATCCGTCAAGGACCAAACGAATTTCTTCATCGGTATGCAAATGTTCCGTAAAAAATGATTTCAATTTATTTACATAGTCAGGTAAGCATTTTTCCGAACAGGTTATCTATCATTTATCATGTATTAGTGCCTTAAAAAATTAATTATTGTATTGCAGACCTCATCCTCATAAGAATATCCTCTTTGTGTGCGAAGATCAGTTAACGTCGAATCTTCTGCGTAATTATTTGCATCAATCTGTAAAGTTTTGATATAAAAAACAATATATAACAATTAAAAATTAATATATAACAATTAGTATATAATTATATATAAAAAACTTTATGATAATCGACGAACTACTTCTACCTTAAAATATTCAACACCAGTTTTTGTATATAAATCCTTTAGAGAAACATATTGCGGTGGATTGGTTTTGTGTTCCAAACGTTGATCATTGTTTGCACTGTCCATAACCCATGATTGCACCATATTTACTTTTGGTAATTAATAAAATGACGATAAATTGCACTTGTTGAACTACTGCGCAAATTTTCAAGTCTCAGCTGTTGGTTGGTGATTTATCTTGCATATCTTGCTGCTTTACACTAGCGTCCATAAATATTGATACATATATATACGATAAAGACATCCATTGTGTGTTTACAACGTTTACATTGTGAGATTAAGAGAACGAGATTAATTTAATCTGCATTTTAAATCTCCACCGTTTACATTATACATTTGAGATTAATTTTGACGTTTCTCTTGTTGTGTTTTGTGTCGTGCGTTTGACAAATTACTGTAAATAAAGTATTTAATTACAATTTTGTACAAAAAAATTATAATATAAATATTTTTATAACAATAATTCAACAAATTTCAGTTATAATTATATAAAAAACTATTACTAAACAAATTAAAAATTCACTCGCTCAGGCATTTTCAAAATTTCAATTTTTTTTTTTGAATAGATTTTGACATTTCTTTTGTAATTTTTCTAAGATTGTAAAAAAATCTACGATATTAATTTGCACAGAAAAAAATTTACCATTTTTAAGGAGATTAAAAATTAATCCCGAACAAAGCGAGATTAACTTTTGTATGGGAAATCTAAAATTAAACAATGAGATTAGTACTTTATACTATGTTCAGACATACTTTAATTTCGCAAAAATCTTAATTTCATCTTCATATCAGCGAAATTAAATTTTAAAATATCCCAAATACAAATTGTGTTTTGATAATGCAATTCGATTTGTAAACAAAAAACATATGATTTTTTCAATTTAATTTAATTTTTCCGAAATTAAGGAAATTTGGCTGTTTGAACATACCATTAATCTTAGAATGTAAACGTAGTATAAAATTATTATTTAATATTAATATTAAATAATATATGTATAAATTTCCTTGACTAAAAATACAACACTGTAGAAGGAATTAAAGTGGTGAAAATTTCAGTTAGTCTATAAACGTGCTTGTTTCAAAAATAGTACACGTTTTCTTTCTTTCCCTGTTGGATATTCAGATCGAGGGTATGTTCTACATCATTATTTATGAATTAAGTATTTATTTGTAATTTTTGTTGAGAATGATCGCTTTGCTTTGTAATTTATCGTAAATTTGTTAAACGTATACGTATACGTATACATAACTTTTCTTTTGAGATTACAATTTGGTACATAATGCATATGTATATATCTTATATTCATAGAATTTGACTGAAGCAAAGTAAACATGGTAAACGGGAGTATTCCATCCGTTTTTTTTCAAAGATATGTAACTCATCACCGACGTAGTGGGAACGGCCGTTTAGATCAAGATTTAAAAACTATTGGTGAATATGGACTTTGGAACAAGCGGGAAGTGTGGCGCGTGAAGTATGCTTAGGCAAAAATCCGTAAAGCTTCCCGTGAGTTGCTAACCTTAGCTAGCTGAAAAAGATGAAAACAAATTATTTTAAGGTAATTATTTGCATATTTTTTACTTTAAATAAAGTAATGATGATACTAATTTTTGACACTTCTTGTCTGAACAAAAGTGACGTTACCATAAACCATCTGACAGCAACATCAATGCATATAACATTACAATTTAGTTCGAATTAATAGAAAAGATTGTATATTTTTCTTAAAGGTAACGCTTTTTTTCGTCGATTGGTACGTAATGGTGTATTAGATGAATTCAATACGAAACCTGATTACGTGTGCGTCTTTTACGGATGAAGATTTCTTAGAGTGTCGCCTGAAAACTCAGATCTTAAAATTGGGTTTGGTCCATCCATCATGCTTGCGTCTTGATCCGTTAAAGCCACATTTGGTCAATATCATGTACAGTGAAGTGTTTTTGGCAGCAACGAAATTGTATTAATTTTTATGTTCGGTAAGACCACTTGAAATTCAAACAAGTGCACTCAAAGGCAATTATGCTGGCATTTAATGTCTTGCAAGATTACTATTAATAATTGAGTAATATCGTGGGTAGAATCAACTGAAACTTTATTAAAAAACCCCACCAATATTAGAAGGCTTCTGTACTAAGAAATGTTTCTCACTAACTCAGTGTGCGCAAACAGTTGGTGAATATCCCACAATTTGTAGGAAATAACATAAAGAATAATTTAGGCGCTGCAAATGGAGCTGGGGAGAAATAAGAAGACTTATACCCTTGGTTTCGTGGTCTATGTTTCATACACTTTAAACAAACATAATTTAATAATAAAGTGAAAAATATTCGTTTTATTCAAACTATGTGTACAAATTTATTTTTGTAAGTGGAAGGAGTATGTATATATATATCTTTGTATGTATGTATGTAACTATGCAAAGAGTTGTCTATGTGAGAGTTCTCAACAAAATAAGTTTGCCTATAAATGTAAGGGATTTATTGTGCGGGAATATGGTTAGGAAAATTTGATCTACAATATTTTGATCTTAAATCTTAATGCTTTTATATACATTTTTTTTTACACTGGGCGTGATTGGAGGTTCTGTATAACAAAATTATGTGCGCACTTTTAGACCCAGCTCTACAAAACTTACCATCAACATTTCTTAAAGTACTTTCAATTTTACATACAAATTGCTCAAAAGATTCCAATAAATTCTGCAGTTTAATGTTTAATGCGTCTAATTTACCACACGCACTGATCATCAACTTGATTGTTATTCGTTAAGCAAGTTAAAATTTAGTCATTGACCCTTTGTGAAGTAAAGTGAAAGTGAAAATTTATACAGGCAAAGTTCGCATTATTCCCAATTTCAGCAATGTAGAGAAAATTGTCAAAGAACTTTTAATTCGTTAAAAAGGATCTGTGAAAAACGCCATCATCATCCATCAAAACTGGCGGTCAAAGGTACTTCGGTAAAGTATTCGCAAACGAAGAAGGCCAGAAAATGCTGCTCGACAGGCTTTCGAGTACCTGTCTGCGAAAAGTGTACATGCATATGTAAGAATTGCTAGCTGTGAGGATCACATGCTCCAGCAGCGTGCATTAGCGGGCTAGCTGCTACTGAAGCTATATAGGACGAGCAAATTAAAACCAAATAAGCAATTAAAATAAATTAATTTTTATTTCTTTAAAAATTTTTTATTAACATTAACTAAAAAATTATAAAAAATTTAGTTTAAAACTTCAATTTTGTCTGTTGTAAAGAGAAGTTAACTTTTTCATAAATCCAATCAATATATTTTTCAACTCGAACATATACACCTGGTTTGTTAATGTAACCACAATGTTGTCCCCACGAAATAATTCCATAAAGCGTCTCCCCATCTTTAATTATGATTATGAAATTATGAAATATACATACATATGTAATACAGTTATTCGAATTTTGATATGCATAATATACCTTCATCAGAACAAACAAGTGGTCCACCAGAGTCACCATCACAAGCATCAACACTTTCATCTAAAGTTCCAGCACAAAACATGCCTGCGGTTAATGAGTTCCCGTATACATGCGGCTGCTTACATGTAGAATCCGCTAGAATTGGTAATTGCGCTGCGCGTAGTATATTAGACGGTGCTTAAAAACGAAAATGAATCAAATATTAGAATAAGAATATTAAGAGGGAAGAATTGTATGTAATTACTAGATACTCCAGATTTCACCGAACCCCATCCGGATATTGTACATATTCGATTCGGTTCGAGGGGAGTATTTTTCTCAGGTAAGCAAATTGGCTGCACGTAATCATTGAATTTGACTGGTGTTTTGAGTACAATAACGGCAATATCATTATTCATGTGCGCATTTTCTCTAAACTTTTCATGTATATACCAGTTCTCGATATATGAATCAATTTCGGAAGATTCCGCCACACTTGCATAGTGATCGCCCATGCGTATGAAATATGCACCTTTCTGATACCCAGCTAAGCAATGAGCTGCAGTCAACAGATGTCGCTTAGATATTAGAACTGCACCACACCAATGACTGGATATGCCTGCTATACCACGTGTGCGTATTGTTGCTTGCCAAGGGTGACGTCCTCGTTTTGCGACTGTTCCGTTAATTACACGCTCCTCAGGATGCGCATAGTCATCCACTAAATCTTCTTTAAAATGTCCGCAACGGCGTTGTTGCTTATGTAGAGATTTACTAGAACGCTCTAGTCCACTATATAACCCAATATCTTCTAACATTGTTTGTCCTAAGACGTCTTCACTATCGGTCAGATTTTTTTCCCAATGATTGCGGTCGAGGTTAGTAATAACTTTTTGGTCTGGTGCTGTCCCAACAGTACATTTAATACCCACATCTTCGGTATGATTACAATTATGTTCTCCCCAATTCCAGTGGTTACACCTATCTATGGCAGATTCATTGCCGTTACAAGAAACTTGATCTAGCCAAATTGGTCCTTTTCCAGGTCCATATATATTCTTTTGTAACGTCTGTAAATAAATTATATAAGAATTAAAATATTTAAAATAAGTGATTTTAACTTACCGGAAGACCAAAGTAGCCCAAAGAATTGCATACTACTTGAGCTTCTTTAATACCAAAATCGTCATCACATACAGTGCCCCATTCTCTTCGATATCTCACTTCAAGCCTACCTTCGTTTTCGCTACGACCTCCTTTTAAGCGATATTCAATTGGTGACTTTAAAAAAAAAAAATTAATCTTCTACTTCATAAAATTAAGATCCTAAAATACTATTCTCTTACTTTACATACACCATCACTTTCGTCGGACTTATCTGCACAGTCTGGAGTATTGTCGCAAACGAACTCGGGAGGTATACACTCTTTGGATGTGCTACATAACCAATAATTGTTTTGACATTTAAACTGTGGTATTTTACATACTATGCCAACTACTTCATCCGGCCCACAATTATTTACGCCCCATCCTTTAAAGTTACAATCTTTAAGTTTCGTTTCATTTCCACTGCAATCGACTTCATCCATCGCAAATGAAAAATTCGTAGCTGTGGGTGGATAATAGGAATTTCCTCTTACTTCATGCGCACCAAATTTAAAACCTAATTCCCGACATACAACATCAGCGTTATGCAATCCAAATTTATCATCGCAAACATAACCCCATTTACCTAAAACTATCATTGAAATATGGATTTATTACAAAATTTTATATCAACTCAGTTATGCTTTTTTAACAACACATACTTTTCACTTCGATTCGCCCCATATTTGTGCTCTCACCTCCAGTTAAGCGAACTTCATATCCCAAATATTCACAGTTATTTTCGTCATTACCATTGCTGCACTGCTTGACTCCATCACAAACCTATTAGTTGGATAAGAAATTATATATGTTATTCGTTTCCTTTATTTTACTTTAGAGGCTTGAAATTATATACATGGAGCTTACCTCGAATTTTCTAATGCACATATCATTTCCACAATCAAATTCACAATCGTTGTTAAATCGATTTTCAAAAGTAACAGTCGATGGAGTAGGATTTGATTCGGCATATGGATTCGGTATATCCAATACATGTTTTTGTATAATGGACTGATCCCCTTCTCTGGTTGCGAAGGGATTAGGTAAATTTGGATGATGTTGATGAAATTCTCGGCTATGCTGATATGGTTGCCTGGATCTGTGGGTATGTTGATGATGGTTATGATAATGTGTATTTGTTGGGACAACACTTGGACGTTCATCTATATTGAATGGATTGGGAAGTTCTGGATGTCTTGAATGAAAGTTTTTGCTATGCTGCTGATTATGCCAATTGTTAACAGAATGTATGTTCTCTGGAACTTTTTGTGAATTTTCCTGATATGAATGAAACTCAGTTTTCAACTGATGAGTGCCAATAGTTTTGGGAATATCAACCATACTGTGTTGTTCTCCTGCAACAATAAGTTCAACGTCGTCTAATATAGTAGTTACGGTAGTTGGAGCTTTTGTGGAAGTGGTTGTGAAAATGCGTGTATGGGCCGAAGATGGGAACTTTGTTGGAGATGTTAGTGCCATTATATGCGACTCAGCTTTGGCAGCAGCTTCATCTGTAATGCTACCGCTTCGATTAAAATAGGGTCGTAAAAGGATACGCAGTGCATCACTTATTGGTAAATTATCTGTATCTAAAGGAGGTGAATTGTTTGAGTTCAAGGGAGTAGTATTTTTATAGTACTGTTTATTGTAAGGTGGAGGAGAAAGACCATGACGGTCGGTTGTAGTCGATATTACTTGTGGCTGTGAATCATTGTCATAGTCCTCGTCATAAAAATCCTCAAATTGTCGATCCTGAAATTCAGGTATAACAGGAATACGTGATTTAACATTAGTTTGAGGGGTCTTAACGACAGTCCAAGTTGTATTTCTGGAATGAGCAACACCTGAATATGATGGGCTATAGTGCGGATCTCTGGCAAATGTCTGGACAGTTGCGTTTTTCAATGTGGGGTATAGATCTGACTCGTTCTTATTAAAATTATTGGTTTGTGTCATACTAATACCATTTAAAGGTGTTGTTGCTTGGGAAGATGGTAATGGAGGTAAAAGACCTCCGAACAAGTTAGTTTCGTCCACAACAGTTGGCATGGTTGTTGTTGGTAGACGATCACTATAAACATTTTGTTTGAAAACAGGTTTTTTTTCAATAACGGAATGACTTGGTATATGATTGGGATAAGATGGTAACAATTGTGTATGTGTGTTTTGAGTTGCACTGGGATTTTGATCAAAATAATCTGTTTCCAACTGTTGCTGTTGACCATCATCTATATCTAATGGAGGCAAAAAATGAGCTAATGGTACTGGGTACGATGAAATTGTGTTTTGATTTGGTAAATGTATAGGATGCTTTTGTGAAGTCAGTGTATGATTATCTATATTATTCCACTTGAAGTCTTTACTACGATCTTTTTCGAATCGATCTTTTGGTAAAGTATTGGAAAATAATTCATTGGAGTCTTCTTGCGAACCCACAGGCTGTGCATAATAAATGTTACTATCGCCGCTAGGTGTCGTGCTTGTGCTTGTCTCGGCGAAGGTGTTTGGTGCAAAAGGAGCTAATGGTGTCGAATATGAAGTTCTATGATTAGTAATATAGTTACGATTTGGTTGTAGAGATCCCTCAACATAAAGAACATTCTGAGTAGGTGTCGCTACATCTTTCGAATAACCGACACCAGACCAATCGGTTGTTTGTTGATGTTGATGGTTTTGTACTTCTATTGGTGTTCTGTGCTGAGTATTATCATAACTTTGAGGTGGATGTTGATGTTGTGTGTAAGTTGTAGGGCGAGGAATATTCATATTAGTCCATCGATCTTGATTGGAAGGCTGAGGTCTGTATTGATATGTGGTATCACCGTTAAAAAGTTTTCCATCTCGATTGTTTGTCGATTTGTCTTAAAGTTACATATGAAATTATAAAAAAACAATTGTTCATATTGTATAAATGATATATCCTGGTATGTAGGGTTCAATAAAACTCACTAGAATCCGGCAAATATTTTAATGTAATGCTGCAGAAGGCTTTGTGTCTGCTAAATTAATAAAAGTAGAGCAATTGACAGTTGAAATAAAATCGCAGGTATTCAAAAGAGTGCTCCAAGCTGTGCCCGAAGCGCAATCTTGTACAAATGTTAAACCGTTGGCGCAATTGAGATATTTAAAACAGTTGATGGGGTGAGCGAATTAACCATTCATATCAGATTTACATTTCAGAGAATATGGATTAACATTGCTTACATTTTTCAGCGATATATCTAGGGATTTGAAATATCTTAAACCTTCACAATTATGGAAAATGAATAGGAAAATTTTTAAATTTCAAATATAAGATTATAGCCGATCAGTCCGAATGAAGTTTATAAAATATGCAACTGAGTGCACACTGCTTTCCAAAGAAAATGTTATAAGGTCAAAATTCGAACCTTATTCATACCTCAATCGTTGATCACACAAATGGTAAAATTGACTAACTTTGTTCCATAATAAAATATGTAGTATTGTCGACTTTCCCTAATGCTTTTTTAAACAATTATATTTTTTCATTTGATACTTTATCAGCAAATTAAAAAGTATATTCAAAGGAAGATTCTGATATACAGACGATATACAGACATATACAGACAGATGAACATTGTCTAACAATCAATTTTTGTGCTCTTAAAAGGATGTTAAATTTGCCAAATCTCAGAGTAAATTGTTTTAAAAATTCGCACTTACTTTGAGATATTTGTGTAGCACGATTTGAATTATAATCGCTACGATCAGTAGCGACCACTTTGACATCAAAATCGCAGGCTCTTCGTGATACGCTGTAAACTAGACCGTTACTGCATGTCTCGATAGTTGGTTCACTCCATTTAGTACAAACAAGGTATTTCCTACAATCATAAGGATGTGGATAAACTCCCTCATACCCAGTTGGACAGCTTATAATATTGTTTCCTATATACAAATCAATTTAATAACCATATCACCCAATTTTGAAAATATTTGTACTCACTTTCTGCAGTATTGCTGTTTACGTTAAAGTTAGTATCTGAGGAGAACTCGTGTCGTGTATCAGTAAAGTATTCTACACGATCGTAAGCTGCGACTTGCTCTCGAGAAACACATTCTTTGCGTGAAATACTGTAAACGCTGCTAGCTGGGCAGGAATCGAACGAAGTTTGTCCTCGCTGACAGTTAATAAATTTAGTGCAGTCGAAGGGATGTAAAAAGTGGCCACTCACACCTGGTGGACATTTGATTTGTATTGAGAAGCGATCATGCGGAGCTGTCGATATTTTAGTAATGAATTAGTTTTTGAAAGTTTTTTGATGTGGAAAAAAATACTTACAATAGCTATATATATTTGAGATAGTCCATTCTTCAGAATATTCTGATAAAATTTGAACATGATCCATTGAATTAACGTTTTCTTTAGATGTGCATTGTTTGTGTGATAAACTAAAAATTTTGCCTGAAGTGCAAGATTCAAATGTAAGTTCATCGTTACGACAGCTCAAATATTTTGTAGCATCGAATGGAAACGGATAAGCTCCATCTACACCACTAGGACATCTTAATATTGGGTTAACATAATTTTGGTCTAAATGAATATAAAATAATGAAATATGTGAAAACTTTGAGTTTGTATAAATATTATCAATATGGGTTATTCAACTTAAGTGGATCCCAATTTATTGGGTCACCAGTCTAACCTGAACTTAATTTTATATTTAAATATATGAAACCATTTGAAAAGGATTCAATTTAATGAAGATGAACTACGAAGAGTATACAATTTATTTTGATTTAAAAATATAGCTATACTTACTTGGTCTGTCATATATATCTTTACTGATTGTTGTGTTTAAAATTTCTCTCAAATATCGAACTCGATCATTTACATGTACTTGGAGTCTCGGAGAGCACAATTTGCGCGACAAGCTGTATACTTTGTCAACTCCACAAGGAAGAATAGACATTTTTCCATTTACACATGCAACATACTTCTCGCAATCAAACGGATAGAGATGAATACCATCAGTGCCGGGGGGACAGCTTGTGACATATTGTGCTATTTACATATCCTTTATAAAATTTGTCAAATTCATAACAATATAACTTACAATACTCATAGCTTACTTCCGAAACGATAAAGGTAACATAGTCAAGTAAGGACAAGTTGCTCTTACGATCACAATAGCCCTTTGTTATGCTGAATGCTGTACCAGGCATGCAATTTTGAATAGCAGTGTTACCACTTCTACAATTTATAAATTTTGTGTAGTCAAAAGGATGTGGGAATAAACCAGACACACCTATAGGACACATTATGTCTTCGATTGAAGTTGCATGCAGTTCTCTATTGTTATTGTGGTTATAATGATTTACTTTCGCGGAGTCGGATGCTATTTAAGAAACAATAAATCAATTTTTTCAACTTTTTAGAATACATATTGCAGGTTTATTTTTAAAAATCAAAACTAAGCAAGCATGTGAACTGTTCTAATCATGTTTAATAAAAAGATAAATACAATTGTCTCAGTTTTTCTAGAATGCCCTTAGAGTCGAAAAGAAAGCAAGCTCTTTACAAATCACAAATGAAGGCAGCGTGCATGCGCAGTTAGCAATAGTTTTTTTAAGATATCGTCTTAAATTAGATATGTCTGTCTTACTTACAAGATACATACGTTTGATTTCTCACAGCGAAATCACGGTCAGCGTTAATATCTTCAGTTTGCCCAGAATTGCCGCAACCTACTTTATATTTAAAATCGCAAACCTTATTTACATTGTCGAACGCTGTTCCAGGTCCACAGTCCTGTATGACAGTACTCCCAGCGCCAACACAGTTTAAAAATTTAGTACAATCTGTTGGATGTGGATATAATCCTACAGCATCGGCAGGACAAATCGCTCTACTTGTAGTGTCTGTAAGATTGTGTATATCTGATATAAAGATACTAATTGCATCTTCTTCTACGTTATCAAATAAACAGTAATGTAGAAGAGATATACTAGTGTATTTGTGCTTTTTATACTCCAAATCTTAGTACAACTGTGACATGTTCATTGAGATGAGGTCGTTACTATTTACATTGTGAATGTCATATTTGGTTTTTAATTAATAGATTCTTATTTATTATATATACTCGATCCCGCTTGTAATATATATATATATATATATATATATATATATTAATTTTGACATCGACAGTTTAAACTTCTAATTGATTGAGTTACGAAAAATTGACATTTATATCGGGACTCGTTCAAATTTCATACCCCAGACAACTAAATACAATATTACAATAAATGAATACTTACTCTGATCCGGGCTCTTTGCAGTTCTTAAAGAACTACCTTCACGCCCACTACAATCCACTTTATGCTTGAAATCGCATACCATCATATTGATGCTGTATGCCGTTCCGGGACCACAATCCTGTACATGTACATTGCCATTTGCACAGTTCAAGAACTTTGTACAATCTGTTGGATGCGGATGTAATCCAGATACACCAGCTGGACAAAGAATTGAAACACTTTCCGTATCCGCACCAAATGATTCCACATCTTGCAATCGTCCTGACCGATGGTTATACTGTGGCTTACGCTGTTGTTGGGATTGCTGCGGCCTTAACTGAATTGTATCTAATGCCCCACATTGTACTTTATCTGGGCGATCACATTCAAGTGTTTCATGATTGAAAACCGTACCCGGTGCACAACTTTGTATATGTCCTCGACCATTCCAACAATTAACAAAACGGCGACAGTCATAGTTGTAAGGTAATAAACCTGTAAAAGAATCACAGCTTTTTATAAATAAGTTAAATGAATTCATAAAGAACTACAAAGACTTCCACAGATTACTGTTGTTCTTATTCAATGCTGCTTTATCTTTTCTGAATATCAAGACAAATCGTAAACTATTGTTCAAAGTGAAATGGCATATCGATGACTGATTCACTGAGATTAGACGTTCAGTTTCCTCACAACATAGAATAGTTAATGTGGATTAAAATTGCACAGAAAAGCGATGGAGGTGCCATATTTAAGTTATGTGTGATGGAATTCATAGAACTTTAATAGTATTTTAAAACTTAATTGGATACATGGTCATGGATATATGTATTGTTGCCTTCGACTCTCATGATCTCGTTTATTACTTACAAGTTTTATATAAATTATTATTCTACACAAATTTCTTCCGCTTTCTAAAATTTTAAAACCACAATCAACTCACTCGTGTTAGAATTGCACTACTTTAATTTTAAATTTTAACTAACTTTCAGTGATTTACATTATCATAAGAGTGCAAAGTTGTCGATAGATAATGAATTTGAGTATGGGAAGAGATGGAATAAGAAATTTAAATCTAAGTCATACGAAGATTAAGACATAAGAAGACATAACAAGATTAATTGGGCTCATTATATATGAGATATCATGGATATTCTCAAATAATAATGTATGTTACATTTTAATTTATTTTATTATTGTGAATAAATAATCAGCAAGATTAGTTTTTTAAATGTTAAAATTAATCGATTTTTAAAACCATTTCTAAGTTGAATTAAAAAATCCACACTATAGGTATTTTAGAGATTTCCTATACTAAATCATTTTAAATGTTTTCAGTGCACTTACCAGTATATTGCGGTGGACAATCAGGTTCTAATGTATTTCTCTGATAAATTGGCGCTATTTGCTCTTTGCGGTGTTGACTGTAGCTTCCACCTTGCTGCTGCTGATATTGATTGTAATTGTTATTATAATTTTGTGATAACCTCTCCGTTGCATCGATGTTTTTAGGTCTGTAATAATCTCCCTTATTATGCTGTTGTTCGTGTTGTTGTTGTTGTTGTTGTTGTTGCTGTTCGAATGCCTGTGCGATTAATGGATCTCGGCGATAAGCTTTAGTTTTTATGCCCGTGTAAGTTGGATCATGAATCTATGAATGCAAAACAAATAAATTTTTTGCGCAACATAATATATAAGCATATCAGAAATATTAACAAATTTTTAAGCTTCTTTATTAATCTTGTTAATTAATGATCTTGAGGACTTAAACTAGAAAAAACAAATTAATTAGAAAGAAGAATATGCATATAATAAAATGTTGATAAATATTCAAATTTAATATATAATATATAATATAATTAATTTCAATAGTTTCGAATTCCTCAATTATATAAATAACAAAATAATTATTAAAATTATTAAATCGATTCATTAAATTAAATGATTAATTTTTTAAATTAAACTAAACTAAGTATGATTTCCTAAGGATTGTACACCAATAACAACCTCAACAATATACCCAAGGAAATTTTTTAAATTTCAAGTCACGTAAATTCAAAAAAGTTCTGTTAATTATGTAATACTATATAATATAATCATTGAAATACTCAAGATTTCAATGAAGGTTGAGTCAATAGTCTCTACGAGGTTTCTTCAAAACCCCTCTCTACGCCTTGGCTGGGTTATTGTTTATCATTTCATTAGACTAAGCAATAATTGATCTCAGATCTGTATAACTCTCCGAGGAGCTAATCTCTGTAACTAATCTGAGATTCAATAACGCGGTGCTAGTAAGTCTCTCAGTTTTCGTAAATAATTTCAATGTTCTATTTTTTATGTATTTTGTAATCAATATATATGCCATTTAAAAAGGTTCTTTTATCAGCCATAGTTAATATAATTCTTATAACGCTAAGGTTTTTCAGTACTTTGTATTATTAACAGATTAATAAATAATAATAAAAAAATGCATATGGTCACTATCAAGAACTCTTAAACACTGGCTATGAAAGTAAAAAGCATAAGAATAAATAAATATGTATAAACTAAAATATGTATCCATGTATAGACTGCATATGGTCACTGTCAAGAACTCTTAAACACTGGCTATGAAAGTAAAAAAGAATAAGAATAAATAAATATGTATAGGTCTAAGTCGAAGATCTTTAACAAGTCCCTCAGATTAGAAGTGATCACACTCGTAACATTCACTCTTAAAAACAAATATTCACTTCATTCGAAATTTATTCGTTTGGTTCGTATTCAGGTAATTTGACATTCGTATAAGAGAAGCAGAAACTGCTTCTGCGGAATATAGTATAATTAGCAGAAAGAAACAGTATAATTAACAGAATACAAACAATAACTACTACCAGTCATTGTAAATATTAGACTCCGATTTAGAGTGTAATTTAGCATTAAATAATTTGAAAGTGATTCGCGCGGGCGATTGCGTATAATTCAAAATTTATATATTACTTTTATATTTAAGTACATATATACGTATATGTTTATAAAATTATTCTAATAATAAATTAGATTAAAAACTCAAGGAACTGTATTTTTTTAGGAATAAAGAAATAACTTGTGAGAATTATTAAGACATTTCAAATCAGTACATCTTGGTGTACAGAAAGAAGTCCATTGCAAAAATATAAGCTTAAATTTGCGACACTATTGTCTTATTCTAAATAGCACAACAATAATTAACAAAAGTTCATTGCCTACGTGGCCAGTCTTCAGTGGAGTATCACGACACAGTATGTATAGATATATCCGATATATTTTATTTAATTATTTCACATCATTAAATATCATTCACTCATAAAATTTAAATTTTTAGTTACACACTTCAGATGTGTACTGTGTGTGCACACGGTTAGTGTATATGTGTGTGTGTGAACACACTTATCATAGCTGCAGATACAAATACTAACCGCGTCCGTTACACCAGCCACAAGGAGGAGTGCACTGAGGCACCAAAGCCATAAATTCTTAGTGAGGAACATTTCTTTTTTCTGTATGCAGCAAATCACACAGCTCGACATTTGCAGTGACTTTTCCTTGTCACCTGTGAAGAGTGTTTTGCCGACGCGCAATTTTCAAATGATTCAATTCAATATTATTTTCTTTTAAATTTGCAATTCACTTTGATAATTTTAAACGAAAAAACTCTCTTATATATATATACATGTGAAAAAAATTTAAATACGATGCTTCCGAATTTTCTTTAGATGCGTTCACTCCGAGTGCTGTTCGACTTTTAAGCGCAATTTTATTCCAATTAAATGATCTATCCACTCGATTGGCTACCCGCTCCGATCTGTGGCTGCTGCGTTGATTTCTTTTTAGAATAAGACAATACCGTACAACAATTAATTGAGAACAATTTACTAGAAGCAAATTACTTAAGGAACAATACGGACTATTGCGAAGAGCGTTTCTCTGCTATCGTCAGACAAGACGATTCTCAAGACCTTTTCGCCCGAATTCTTATCATTTTTGTATTTACTTATTGTTTAAATTAATTTCGCTGTAATTTGGGAAGCGTCGTGGGTTTTTTGTACATTTAACTTTCAATGTTTTTTATTTGTGTACAAATACATTTGCTCTTGTTTTCCTGGCTTAAAGATAATATATGTACGTTGAATCATATTACAATTATATGATGATTTATGTTTGCGGATACGTACGTAGCCGTCCCTTAGTTTTCCTAAAGTATTTAATCTAATTATTTTGTGTATTGTTTAAACAAATGTCAGGTGTCATATTTCTTGAAAGAAATTTATTTACTCATTTATTTAAAAGAGTTAAAGACTTAAATTGTAATTTTACTGTTTTGTACATAAATCACCGGAGATCATTGAAGAGCGGCTGCTAGTGCTTCACAGTTGCACTCGTTCGAATTGCTTATTATCTCGAAGAGGAGCATCTGTAAGAACTGCTCAGTGCTTGAATGCAACGCATTCTTTTTAAAATGGTTTTAACTCGACGAATATTTTTTTGTGATAATAGAATATATAAATTTACGTAGTTTAAAATGTGTGTGTGTTCTCTGCAAAAACAAATTGAAGCAATGTCAATTTGTGTAGCGGTATGAAAATAATATACAAGTATATTACTAAATTTCATTTTAAAAGTCAATTATGCCGAAAGAAACTATTTTCATAAGAGAAATTATTTTTTAATAAATAGATATTTTAAACAGTAATAAATTACAACAATAAAATTCCTGTTTTTAATAATGATTTTTAGATATTTTTTATCCGGCTATAGGTCACTTTTTGTTAAAATTAAAATTCAACATTTGTTTAATATTTTTTAATATATTCTACATTTCCAAATTAAAACAATGTTGTATTTTAATTTAAAAACAAGTGACCTATAGTCGGATAAAAAATATATAAAAACGATTATTAAAATAACATGTCAATACGAGTAAAGAAATTCGAAATTTAATTCTTGGTTTTTATTAATTTAATTTTGACTGTAAATATTTTATATAAGCAGTTAAATAAAGAAACACTTCCTTCTGGAGTTGTGTCATATAAATTTTAAACATTGTTTATTCTAAAACTTTAATGTATAGATTTCTCTTTGAATATTTATATTTATCAATACTTTTTAAACTTAAACTATTTATTTTTCTCTTAACACTGTGTTTATTTCAGACATTATGGCCCAACAACTGGACAGAGAGAGTGCAGCTGATGCGGATGTTTTCTTCTCTAATTATCGTGGAGGGTTAGCTGTAGCTTATAATTTTGATCCTGGAACTGTTGATTTTTTTGAACTCAGAAATGGCAGTAACATAATATGGGCTGTTGAAGAAGATGACAAGATTGTCATTAGTAACGTCGCATATCTAAAGAATAAGAACTTTTTTGATTCCTTAAATAAAGATATTGCCTTTCGTGAGAATCCTTTGAGCTTGAATGAACCAACATTAGCGAGGACTCATGCTCAATATTTTCCCTATGTTCACTTATTGCACATTGCAAAACGACTCAGTAAGTTAACGGATATTCAGATCAATAGGATGAAGAAAGTCTACACTGATCAAGGGTATGAACACACTGACGTCCACAACAACTTTATTATGGCACATCTGATGCACCTAAATAAGAGTTTTGTAGCTGCCTATGAAGAATATGCAGACTCTTTTTTGGGAAAGAATATTAAAGTACGCTTGAGTGATGTTAAAAGATCTGAAAGTCAGCCACAAGGTGCTAAACTATACAAAACTCAGGAGTCATTTGAATTTGCTATGCTTTTAGCCATACATGCATGTGGGAAATCTTATCATGCAACCAACTACAGTACCTAGTAGCATTTTATGCATCCTATAACATTAAGGCACCAGATATAATGAGCCAAACTTACTTGACTACACTATTTCCACCCGACATATTGAAAAGTTATCAGGACTTCCTCCCAGTTAACTTAAGAAGTCACCTGTTAGGAGCTATACATCAGGCAAAATACCCGAAACTTACAGAGTACTTAAAGACAATACTTCCATACACGGGCATGTCTATTATTCGATGTACTCATGAGATGCTCACCTCAGGGAATATTCTTCAAGGCCATTTGAGACCCTCTGTTCAAACACAAGCTTTAATGTTTTCTAAGTGGTACAAGTCAAGGGTTGATCATCATGGGGATTTATTTAAATACATGTGGTTTTATTTCCCCAGTGATTTAGTTGAAGTGGCTCAAGCGAAGTATCCTGATCTATATGCACTAACACTAGCATATGAAAGAGCTTCCGGAAGAATGGCAAATTATCAGAGCAGTATTCTTGGTAACATTAAGCTCCACCCAGCCTAATACCCATCATCAGTTCTCTTTTTTTAAAAATATTTTTTACATTTAAATGTTTTTATATATATAGTTATGTAACAAATTTATTTACTTAAAATTAAAATATGAAATTTTTTCTATTTAATTACATTTTTTTTATACCACATTTTTAAATTTATGTTAAGTAAAATTCTACATAAACAGATATAAAAAAGTACAAGTCCAATTGAATATATCGACTATTATTTGAATAGATGCTAAAAGATATATTCCAGATATTTAATCTACTGTAAACTTTATCTGTCTAAACTTAAAAAGTTTTTTGTATAATTTATTATTTTTTTGATAGCTTAAAAATTGTAGTCATCCATACTAACATATTAATATTGTTACATGAATTCGTCTTATCACGTTGATGAAATAGCGTAGCCAAAGAAGTCAAGGATGGATGTGGAAAATGGCCTTTGCCATCCTCTACCAAGCTCAAGTATATAGGATTAACGTAACCTTCACATACAGTTAACGTAATATTTTGTCTAACGTCATACACCTTCACTTCAGGATACCATAATGGATACAAAAATATTTTGGTGATGAACTGAATGTATTGAATATGTAATGGATTTTGCAACCGTAAAAATGTATAAAAAATGAAATAATCTTAAACGATTATGATCGTTTAAGAAACAAGAAACATTGTGTTTATTAAGTCCTATTAGGTTTTGCAATGTTTCTGAAAATAAAATAACTAAATAAAAAAAAGAACTTAATAACTATAATTAATTACAATAAAAAACACGTTTTAAATTATTTTATTTATATTCTTATTATTAAGATAATCACTTAAAAAATATATTAACAACATATACAACATTCAGATAAAAATAAATATGTACATCACAACTTGAGGCCTAATTTGAAACTAGAAATTTATATTCTATACATTTCTCATTACATACAAAGCTTTTATGGTAGATATTTTGTACATATCTTTATGTTTTAGGTTCAATTCTATTAGAATAAAGGTTTTATTTTAAAATATTTCACTTCAGTCTATGTTCTTTCGTTTTGTTTTTTGGCTGCTCTTTTGAATCCTCATCATTTTGTTGTAAATCTGAATTCAAATCTATCTTCGGCTCTTTTGTCGGTGTTACAATTTGTACATCCTTTTTAAGTGTTATCATTTTCCACAGCCTTTCATATGGATTTTGTATTTCATTTTCAGTTTGTGGTATACCGAAGCCACGACGAATTTTAGGTGAAAGCAATAAAAGATTTTGAGTCAGGCCATATGAACTAGAAGCCACCCAGTATAAACACAGAGCCTAATACCAAATAATACCAAAATAAATGTGGTTATTTAAAATCAATGTAAAATCAATGTTTGTTTACCGATGGAACTGTGCATGCAATTGGCACCATTCCAATACTAAATAATTTAAAGGCGTTGGTAGCATATTTTTGCAGGCGACCAGGTGGTTTATTTCTTAAATGTGATTGTACCTTCAAATAAATAGATTATTTTTAAATTATTAATTTTTAGACATACAGTAAGTACATTACCTGAATAATACTTAAATTAATAAGACCTAATGCTACAGGCAGTATATATGAGCTGTCGACTTGAGTTAAATTCGGTATCCAACCAAAACCACCAATTGTAAGTTCGGTAAAAGCTACTTGGGCTTGGAGACTATTTGGATCCGGCAACATTTGTACAATATTGCGCAATGCTACTGATTGGCATATCCACAGTGGTATTTGCCCCCAAAGCACAATAAGTGTTTTTGCTGGATGACAGTTTTCTCGCACAACTAGTTTGTTCCACTGCTTTCTAATCTAAAATAAATGAAACATTTTAAGTTTATATAATCAAAGTAAATGCTATTATTATCTTACTGATCTGTTATAAACAATTTTAGTGTGCTGCTCTGTCCAGTTAAATTTTTTCATAGCCATAACAGCTTCTTTCTTCAATTCCTTTACAATTGGAGGCATTTCATGAGTAATTGTTTCTAGACGAGCAGTTATCTTATATTGATATACTGTTAATGGTAGTGTTATTGCTGTACGAAAAACTACAGTTGACATGATAATAGAGGCCCACCATGGCAGTCCAGAATAATCATGAATTGTTATTAGAGTATGTTGCATATACTCAACGGGAACACTATTTGAAAGCGATTGCCAAATGCTAGAAATAAAAGACGAGTCCGTTGTCGAAGAAACGTAACGCTTCTGTTGCATTGAAATCACTGCCTCATTATCTTTTAAAAGTAATTGCTGTGAGTTTTGTGTAAAACTTGGTAGAAATTTAATGGTATTATTGCAAGCTAAATGTTGAGAAACAGTGGATCGCGTAATTAAACGAAGCATTGTGCGGTTGTTCTATATTGTCATAATTTTTAAATGAAAAAATGAAAAATTAAAGTTACCAAACGAGACAGTTCGCTAATAAAAATCAAAATAAAAATCAGCTGTTATGAAATTGTGTCCAAATTTTTCCACCAAAATTCCCAACAGCAGGAATGTTAATTTTCGAACGAATTCTTTTAAATACATTACGTATTATAAAACAAAATATAAAAAAATAATATAAATAAATTATAATTACAATAGTGTACATATAATATTGTAATATTGTGAAAAATCATAAATTTGAATTTTCTTAACATACTATGTAAATAATTCTTTATTGGCCAAGACCACGATTTTCAAAGCCTCATAAATTAACGAATTGTATTTGTAAAACTTGCCATTCTGAGCAACTTTTTTCACTACGCTACATGTTGAGATTGCTTATTTTTCCAAATATTCGTCTATGTATGTCAAAATTTGTATATTAATAAAACTAACGAGGTTGTTACCAACGAGTTGTTGGTAATTGTTGCTTGTGAAATCAATACAAAAAATGACATGCATTATTATTGCTAGTGACGTGTTTTGCTAATAATCAAAAATCAAGCTATATTAGCATATGCATAATGGCATAATAGTTATTTAGAATAGTGAGTTTTACAAAAATCTGTCGTCAAATTGCAACTCCTAAGATATCGTAATTTGGTACTTCATTGCTTTAAAAAGTTATATTACAATATCTGACCAAAAGGTTTTGTTATTATATTTGACATAGATCATTTATTTATTTTAATATTTATAAATAATTTTGGTGAGCAGGATATTTAAATACAATATATCAATAAGCAGTAGAAACATAAAGTGACTAGTTTATTTCAGAGTTCGTATTTGCGTACCCATGAGCGGCTCATTTCGGCTCATTCTGCTCATGGCTCATGAGCCGGCAAAAAACTCTTTTCACGCACACGAGCGAGCCCAACTACAAAGCTAACGCTCACGAGCAAGAGCCGTCATTAAGTTATAAATAGGCTCACGCTTGTGAGCAAGAGTATGAGCTGCGGTTCATGAGATCTCATGCGCCCAATTCAAGATTTTGCTATTATTTTTTTTGTGAAAACATATCATTAAAAATGATTAAAAATATTAATAACCTTGAACTAACTAAAATATGGAAATAATCAAAGTTCCTAAAATAAACAATAAATATATTTTTATTGTTTATTTGTGGAAAATAATGATATTTTATAAATTTGTTTATCAAATTCAAATTATTGTTTCATTATATTGTTTTAATATGAAATTATATATTTTAACATATAACGTTTATAAAAATAAATAAAGTTAATAAACTAATAAATCGCTTTTTATTAAACAGTTGAGCTCGTGAGTTCTTGGCTCGTGAAACCTCATGAGCAGCTCTTCAATATGAGCAACTTCAAGGCTCACGCTGGTGAGCAGCTCTTCAATATGAGCCAATTATGGGCTCACGCTCATGAGCCAATTTTGTCCTCACATAAGAATTGGCTCTTGCTCATGAGCCTGAGTTGCTCATGAGTGAGTGGTTTATTTATCTTGTGTACTTGTTTTATACTTTCACTAAAACATGATAGTTATGATACTGTACTGTGTGCATAAACGATTAGGAAGCATATAAAATCATTTGATTTATGTAAGTATTAAATTTGATGAATTTCATCTATTCATTTATAAATTAATAAATAAAATAAAATGGATATGTATAATATTAGGTCTTTTCTTTTGTAAGGATGTCGCAAAAGAACAAATAAAATAAACACTCTTATATGTGCAAAACACGTAATAAAATTTAATGTTGAAATTTCGGTAATGAATAATAATTCTTAGCTATTATTGATGAGAATATTTTTTTTACATGATTCTGAATAAAATATAATTTTTCATGTCTTTTAATAGTAAAATAATAAATAGAAAAAAATAACGTATTTGATAAGAACAATGATTACACGAAATACAAATAATTAACGAAATCATTCGTTGATAGATAACTTGAAATTTCGTATGTACTTTCAAAATTCGTTAAGCGTCTTCAAAAAGGTTGGAGTAAATAAGCTAGAAGTGTTGTTTCGTATGTTATTTTTAAAATAAGCAGTTGTTCTTTTGTGATATGCTCACATTTTCCAAATACTTAATTTAATTTTTGATAATATTTAAAATTAACTATTGTGTTGTAATTCTTCGTCTTCTGGTAGTTAGTACTAACAAAAATATAGAAACAGATCTAATATATATTCCTTTAGTACAGTAAATCATTGCCAACTAAAACATGCTATAACGGTACGAAGTTTTATAGCATGTTCTTACTTTTTTAATTCTTAAATTTAAAAATATGGCATCACCATTTCTTGACATCAGAATTTCGTTTTTCCTTCATTAATTTTTGTTGATGTAGAAAAAAAGTACAATATCACTGTGAAAAACCAATTAAAGTCAAAACTTAAGAATAAAATTAGTTTAAAAGTTTATTTTGTTAAAATTAATGTTATATATAATAATTACATAAAAAATTGTGAGTTAAAATCGTAGTCACTTTGTTATTTTTTCATAATTTAAGCAAAGACGCAAAATGATTAATTTTAGATGGTTTTTCTCTGATTAAAAAAAAATTAGAGTTTATATTGCATTTATTTTTAATAAATTTAATAAAATCATTTTTATTAAACAAAAAGTTTCAAATTTATAGTTGGAAAGATTCACATTTAATTTTTGGAATTCTGTATGTTTTGGGTCTGATAATTTGTCAGAGTCGACTTTAATTTATTATTAACTGTAATTAAATGAATTTTAAATAAATTAATGCAAATAAGTAATCGGTTTTGCCCTTTCAGCAGCAGACGAGGTGCATTAAAGGTGATTGCCCTGAACGAAATCATTTTTGTGTTTCGGTGATTTCATTTAATAAATTTCGTTGCTCGATATGAACAATCAATGGGCTGAAATTCCAATACTCGCATTAGGTGAAATTTATTCCTACCTCCAACCAGAAGATCGTTTTAATGCTTCGTTAGTTTGTCGACACTGGCGTGGTGTCTTATTTCAAAGAAGGTAAGGTATATATTTTTATATTATAACGGTATTTTGTATTCCGCTTGAAAATTGAGCAAAATGAAAGTAAATATGTACGTAAAATATGTACGTCTTTGATCATGCTTCAGAGAAATATAAAACATTTTTTTAGATTTTTGAAAATAGAACGTAATAAATACAATTTATTTGTAAATATGTATGAATTTTCTTCGAAATAATACTTAACATTATAATATATGGTTGACCATTTATGCGCATTAAAAATAAAGCTTTTGCATCAAAATTTGTACTGCACCCCTTCCCCTACATAAAAACACAAACAAAAAACAGCTGTGTACTCAGCTGTCATTACCACTTCTAGGCTAATATTTTGTTTTGCCACTTAAATGCCACTTTGCTGATTTGTTTGATTTTTAAATTATTTAATATAAGTGAATACTAAATTACAAATTGAGAAAGAAATTTAAATTCAAAATTATTAAAAATTAAATAGCAAATGTATGTTTTGTTATTGAAATGACCATAAATACGGCATTTTGGTAAGTATTCCTAATATAGAGATCAACATAAAATTATGGATGAAATTGGTATTGGCACTTAGACAAAATTGGCTTGTTGTGATACTACATGAGCCGAATAAGATCTCTAATCAAATTTATATTCCTTATTGAATTATATTTTGATGTTATAAGTGTTTGTTACTTTGTTAGAACCATCGCATTGGCCCATGTTAGCAGTGTGACTTAATCTAATTATTATTTTTTGCTAGTGATAGCAAATAGTGTTAGTTTCCATGTACTGTAATGATGTATTACTGATTCTTTACACGTGCACAACTGTAAAACAGTCTTTGATTATGACACCCATTGAGCTTGTTTTGCTCAGATGTGCTTCTATTTTCCTTGAACACGGTTTTACAAATTGCTATATGTTCTTCCTCCAAGCGATTTTAATGGTACACAACCTTGGACACGGTTTTTTTTAAATTTTTTTCTGTTTTTTATAAATGGAACATAATAACGGATCTTCGCACACTGTCATCCTTAAGGCTCAGTTAGACGATAGGTAACGTAAGAAATTAATTCAAAGTGAAATGCACAACCAACCAAACTTGTGTGTTTGACAAACGAAATAAACAAAGCACCGTTTTTGTTTATTTCGTTCCTATCAAATACGCACGTTTGGTTGGTTGTGCATTTCGCTTCGAATTAATTTCTTACGTCTAATTGAGCCTTTAATCGTGAGTTTTTATTCAACGACAGTGTGTGTGCGAGTCAACCTTGTCAGATTGATAAAAAGCTTCATCTTCGGCTTCTGTTTCGAACTCAGCTAGAAGCCATTTTTAATAAAATTTTAGAACCGCTAAACTTAAAAGTATTAAAAGTAAAAATTCAGAAAAACTTCTGTTTTTTATTGTATTAACGCTGATATAGTTTTTTAAAATAATGATATATATTAACTGTCTATTAATTCTACATTTATAAAATATTAAAAAATCGTATTGTTAATAATTTTTTGTATAATTTTTTAGATTTTTTTCCAATTTTAAGTTTAAACTCCACATTGGAAATGAACGCCAGTGTGTCTTTTTCCGGAATTCCATTTCTAATTTAACAAGCGAATTAATCATAATATTTGATTTTCATAATGTTTTCCATATTGAAAAAATACGACGTATCCTATATAGGTAAGCAAAATATATATTTAAAGTATATATGTATATTAACAAAATAGTTATGTATAAACTTACAAATCTATCTTTATTGAAATTGTACAGAATCGCTCGCTGTGAAAATATACAAGGACTACGTTTTCAAACGAACAGCGTAGGATTCATTCCACCGGGTGATATCAGTGATGAAAATCTAGTCGATATTGAACAGTATGTATTATAAAGAGTAAAAGATGTGCACATTACCATTTAATTAATTTTTTTCTACTTTCTACTTTTTAAAAATAGAATATTTGTAGAGCCGTTGAAATACTTTTTGAGCCGAAAAGGGACTTCTTGCAGAGTTCTCGATTTAGGCTCAATAGAAACACTCACTTATTACGCACATGAGTTTTTAAAATCATTTAAAAAGCCCCAAGCACTGGAGGAACTAACGTTAGCATCACTTAAATATGATCCTTGCCATTATTCAATGCTTGTGATAGAAAATTCAATGTTGCAGAAATTTACGTCATTGCAGGTTTGAATTGCTGAGCTCTGAGCCTAATATGACATATGACATATGACATAAGTGAAAATTTTTTATTGTTATTTAGGTGTTATCGCTAGATTATGATTCCGTCAATGAAGAACTAATTAACACAATACGAATTCTTCCATTAAAAAAATTGTTGATCTTCATACATGGCTTAGATCGTAAGTTTTGTGAACTTCCTGTTAAATTTTTAGATCAATGCAAATTGTTTGTTAGGTACACATCCTGGAATATCTGATGCATCTTGGCAAAATTTTGCAAATAATTTTCCTTCTATCGAATTGTATCTGACTTTGATATATGCGTATGAAGCTGTCGAGGTACTACAAGTACGCATTTTACGTAGGAGCATGCCACTAACACATTTACGAGTGCTCTTTTGTGATTTTGTAAGTATTAATTCAAATACATCACATCGCATTTCACTACATTACATATTAAAATCTTTATATCCCGTTGAAAGAAATCTCTTTTGAATATAAACCGGCATTATAAAGAGGAAATTTCAAATTTTAAAATTAATTTTTATTCAAGTTATATATATTAGGTAACCATAAAACTGTTGTGGATAATGCCAAATAGTGGCCGTTTACTTAACATACTAAGGGTTAAAGAATTTAAGGTTTTATTATCTGTTATTATTTCTTAAACAATAAGAAACTGTATACGCAGCCAATACGTTAGATTACATACGTCATAATTGTATTTTAATTCATCAAATTAATTTGTAAAATCATAAATACATACTATGCGCAATGTATTTCAATTATGTGATGTTTTTGAATTGTATTTTTAAATTTAAAATAGTTTGAAACTAGAAATAAAAATACCTTTTCTTTTACTCACGTCCACATGATAATTTAATAAATTATGTAAATTATTCATTTCTAAAACACATTTATACGTATTTATCACGTACTAACTTCTTTTTATACCTGTTGCTATTCATATTTTTTTGATAGAAATTCTTTTTATTTACAAGTACATTTTTTATTGGTACAAGATACAATTTATGTAACTTTATTTATATAACTTTATTAGTGGCAATGGGGTATGCTATGATCTTTGAGGTATATGGTGCTATACATCGGAGATTTATTATCCGATTTCTGACATTTATAGGATAGGGGCAAATAAGATAGGCAGTTGTTACACTCACGTTTAATAAAATCTGCACTTATCAATATACTTTAATTTCATCTTTGAAAGGTGTTGGTAAATGAATACACTTTCATTTAAGTTCAGATGTATTTAATTTGAGAAAGTTTAATAACTACTACACGATATAGTTTATAATGAATTTCTGTGAGTTAACACAAACGCATCCTATAAGACATTGCTAGTATAGTCCTTTTTAGGGGTGCGCTATATATCTCCACGGACTATTGCAACAAGAATGTACACTTTAATTTAATAGTAGATTTAACTCTAAAAAAATGAGTAAAAATAAATATATTTTCTTCGTTCAGCCAGATATAAGTTTCTTTCTACATAAGAAAGATTCCCAATTCCCAATTATTATTAAAATAAACATTTATTCACAAAACATTATATTAATTTTAATATCATTAAAATAAAAATAAAAACTACCTCTTAATTTCAAACGGAGCTATAAAGCGTTCATGTCTTATTATTGTAAAAAAATATATAACTCACGATATAATAACAGATACTCTATAATTTATAGATTAATGCAGAAGCATTAGAGTGGTTATCTATTCACAACAGTGGAACACTTAAAAGTGTTCAATGGATTGATTCCGTGAGTATAAAAAATCGCCATATATTTTAGATTTTATTAAATCTTATATTATTATTAATTTATATTCATTATTTATTATTCATAATTATTTGTGATCCGATATACATGTATAATAACTAATAGTTTTATAAATATCTAACATTAATAAACTTAATATTAGGTCAATCTTTTAAATGTTAAAGTATTGAAATATGAAATATACGTTACTTTCTATTTATTTAATTGCTATTGTAAATATAATATTATGTATACATTATAATAATATATAAAGCTAATAATAATAAACTTAACAATAGGCCTGTAAGCATTCCGATAAAAGCGTAATGGATTTATTTATGCATTCTGGCCAAGATCCTCTTATTATGATGTCCTGGCGTTGCCATTATTTGGAAGAAATTGTTATACATGGATATGTTTTAGATCCACATAATATAGTAGGCATTTCTCGGTTACGTGGAAATTCACTTAAACGACTTGAAGTGTCTATGATTGACGAAACTCCTGATGAGCTAACAATGGACACATTCATTGAGGTTCAATTTTTTTTATAATATCAAAGGCAAATAGAGTTACGGTATATAAATTTTTCTTAGGAAATCAATATTCTTCTAGGGCAAAAATGGCAACCACTAACACCAAATCAACTACACCCAGCATTAGGATATACTCCGGTTACGGAAGAAGCACGCGACGATTTCGTATTTGACCTTATACGCAGCGATATTTTTAAATAAGATTATTTATAATATATATTGAAATTATGCACACAAATATGTCAAGTTGTATACCACCAATTATACTTATAACGGTGATATGTATTATTACAACAACAAAAACAAATAATATATTCAAAAATATAAAAATCAATTTAAGAAATGCAAATTTAAATCTCACTAAAATTATCTCTTAAAAATTGTTTATTAAATTAAAATTATCTATATATACTGATAATACAAATACAAATACATATGCATATTATGTATATATGTATATTTTTGGAGAAAAATAATTAGTTAAAAAAAATTATTTTAAAAATTATTCTTTTGACAAATGGACGAATTTTTATAATAAAAAACTAAATATTGTAATTAAATTTATTTTAAAGTAATTGAACTATTTATTTTGAAAAAATTTAACTAATTTATTTTAAAATAATTTATCTTGACATTTTGTAATAAGACTTTATTTTGGTTTATAAAATTATCTAATATTCTTTTGTGGTATTAAAATATATATGTTTTTTGTAATTTTGTTAATATTAAATTATAATGTATATAGCAGAAAAGAAAAACGTCTCAATCAATAACTAAAATCACAACTAAGTATTCCTCCTTAAATAATAATAAACGAACTATAATATGTGTTTTCTGTAAAAACAAGAAAATATATTTAATTTAATATTTTCCATATATGTTAACTTATACGAAGAATCATTTATATGTAAAAAAATTTATATAACACAAAACGTTAGAAATTGTAAAAGACTTAAACACTTCACAAGTTGTGATGGTCACGAAGGGTGAAGAAACTATTAAAAGCTGTATATTTAAAATTGAAAGAACTTAGAGTAACAACTTAATATATAACACCTTATATATAATCTATTATTTTTAAAACGAACAACATCTGTGATTGAATATATTAAATGCCAGCATACCATTAACAAACTAAAGTAAAATGTATTTTTAAAAGTAAGAACACTAAGGCAGACAACATGTGCTGAGTTTATGTTAACATATTTTTAAGAAAGAACAACAAAAGCTGTAATTATCTTGTATTCTTATTAGTTAATTATTAAATATTCAATAGCATATCTGTCAGATTTGCAGGTTGTTATATAAATTTTGTAAACTCGGCCTTAAGAAATATTTTAAATATTTTAAATTTAAAGTACTTTGTTTAACTTTCAATGCGTAAAAATTTAAAAACTTTTTATAAAATTAAAATTTTTAAATATTTTAAGTTGATTTTCATATTGTGAAATAAAAATCCGAATGGTTAAAATTAGATGTTAATAGATGTTAATTGCAATATAATGACTTAATAATTAACTTATATAAATTCAAGATATAATTACACATGCAGACAATTTTAAGCTCAAATCAAGCAAAATAAGCTCAAAAACGTCAAGAAACTGACATTATATTTTGGAATTCAATACACTAAAAAACGAACAAAGAAAGTAAAATCTGTTTAAACCAAATTTTATATTGTGATTAAAATGAATATAAAAATGATTTACAAAATTAAAGCAAAAATATGAGATTTTTTACATAATAACTATAATACTAAGAAAAACATTATGCGATGAAAAGTAGCTCAACAATATCGAATGACTACTAATTTGCGAACTAATTGTGATAAAATTAAGAAACAAAAACAAAAACAAAAACAAAACAAAATGTAAAAAAAAAGAAAATCCAAGTAAAATGTTTATAAGAAGTGATATTTAAAGATTTTAGAGAAAAAATTATTTGAAACAAAGACCAAACAGAATATCAAACTGCTTTTTTTTAATTAAGAACATTGCATCTAAAATTAATATGTATGAAATATAATAACAGTTTATAAGATTTAAACTAAAACTAGATCAAGATGCCATAAAGCAAACTATGCATTCAAATTAGTCAAATAAGTCTCATGATATGATATGATATGATATGATGTGACTATGATTATTCAGGATGTGCCAATATTAATAGGAATATTGTACGTAAATTTTTATTGTGAAGTAATTTAGAGGCAAGTTCAATGCTAAAAATGAAAAATATTCTCCAAATACACTATCCATCTAATATTGGCATACTCTGTGTTTTGCCAAACTTTTTCTTTTTTCTTAATATCATGATTAATTAATATTTAATATACGTTTACATATTTGCTTTTTACTGAACTTTATATTAAAAATTTATAGACATATTTATGATCACACAATATATTTTTGTAATTGTTATCAATTTTATCTTCAATTATATTGTTATATGTATTATTGCAAATAGGTGACACAAACCACTATAATTTAAATTCAGATAAACGCAATTATTTTTATTAATACAATGATAACAAATGTAAATAAATTAATTTAAAGAATTATTGAAAATATTGGCCAATAAAGACCAAATTATATACATATTGTTAAGGATCTAAGGGTCTATGCATGTTACCCAGTGTCAGTCAATCAATTAAACAAGGCCGATTATAACTTATAATAATAATGATAATGAACATTAACTTCATAGTTAATGTCGTCGATAATTATTTAAATCGAAAAGTTCATTATAGCAGAAAAAAATTTTTTTTATATTTAATTGAATTTTTTGACTGAACATATAGCTGTTTTGAACTGTCTCCTGATCCATTTATCATAAATGGTCTTTTGAAATACTTGTTGGTTTAATTAGTCTGTATATAAATTATTGAACTGCGGATATTAGGTTTGTTTTTTATTGTCTGAAATTTTCTATTTAAAAAATCATAATTGATTTTGAATTAATATTTTATTTTATTACTTGATGATTTTGTTTTTACTTTCTGTTATATTGTGGCTCGTTAACATAAACTTCTATATAGATCAATACATTAAAAATGAGTTATTTTAAATCGTTATAGTTTGTTCTTTTTAGATTTTGATTCGTGTTATTGATTGGCATAACTCACAGATTCGGACCGGAAGTTTTTTCGCTAAAAGTCTTACATCCGATTAAATTAAAACGAAAATTCGGTTCCGATTTTCAACCCGTTTCAGTTTCTAGTGAATATTTTCTAATTTAGTTTCTAATTTATAGGATAAAAAAAAATTTTTACGTTTAGAAATAAAAAGACTGTTTTTTAATTTTTAATTTTTAATTTTCATTAAAGTTTTAACTGAAAAAAAATGGCAAGAGTCGAAATGTTCGACGCTGGCAAGTATCGGTGTCGGTTCGGTGTCGGTTTTCGGTTATACAGAAATATCGGTTACGGTTTAGTTTTGATTTGAAGCTTTTTTTTGAATATAGTTTATAGTGAAAATGAATTTAATTTTTAAATTATTGTATTGTTATAGTGACACTTTGCAATTGATTGTTGTGATCCAAAAAGTAAACTAGCTTTCGGGTCCCTAATGAGATAGTTATGATAAGAGACCTGTCTTCTTTAATTTGTGAATTTTTGCATCGAATTTCTAATATTGGAATTTTCCTGATGAAGGCAAAAGGGAATTTGCCAAAATACGTATCGATATATACAAAAAATAACGATCGAAATAAAAGCTAAAATTCCTTAAAAAACAAAACCGACTTTAAAATATTTATTAATTAAAAAAAAAGTAATTGATAACTCGTAAAACTTCTAAAAAATTAATTGAATTTTTAGAAAGTCTTAATCGAATAGAGAATAGATCACATTAAGTAATAAAACGAGAAAATCAATTGAATTGGTGCTCAACAAACAATGAACAAAAACCATATTAATTTGTGCTTTGATATTGAAATGAAAGTTCAGTAAATTAGCAAATATTTATAATATTATTTTTTTTAACAAAAATTCATTAAGTTTAAATATGCATAAAAAATAATTTTGTTGTAATATTTGTATTAGTAAACACAAAAAACGTCTTAAGAAAAACATGATATGTCAAGAAAGAAATTAGCTTAATGGAAGCCTATACAAAGTTATTTGCATTTTATTTAATAAAATTAATACGCATAGTAAATAAATAAATATACAAGAACAAACATCAAAGCGTATAAAATATGTACCTGAACAACAAAACCATGTATTATATACAAAATGAAATGAAAATACTTATGATTTAAGATAATGTAAATGTTAAAAACATTTAAGTTGCATTAAAAACAAGAGGTGAAAAACAACAACAACAACAACAGCAACAACAACGAATCATTACATTAAAGTAAATATAAAAACCAACTGTTTAAAGTAAAAGTAATTAGAGAAAATACCAATACATTGAAAAATTTACGAATTTTTTATTGATTTGTATATGTGTACATAAGCGTTATAAATATATAATATAAGAACTAAGAACTAAAATATCGTACTAGTATGTAAACCATTGCAATCCGATGCCTGCAATTAAAATGAAATCAATGAAGACTGAGCTACCAACTTGTAACGTAAAGCACAAGTGGCAAATAACTAAGCAGAAAAAAAAACAAAATCACAAAAAAGATACAAGATACAAAAATGCATAAGAGACGTTCAAATATACATTTTACTGTATACTTATATATGACTGCACATACTTTGTTGTTATTTATTGATTGTATTTAACACAATTATGTTAATATATTTAATTTGTATTTAAATTAAGGAAAAATGTAAGAAAATATGAAATAAGAACACTTGAAAAACGGGTATCCACCCGTTTCGGTTTGGGTAACCCCACCAAACTTGCCAAACTTTCAAATGGTTATAGTTAGGAAATATGTATTAGAGAGGGAAACAAGCAACTAGAAGTTAAACATCAAATATGCACCCACAACAATAATATTATTTCAAACTAATTGTGATAAAAATGTTGCATGCTGAAATAAATTTGCATTATGCCACATTTGATATGAGATAAACATTACATGCAAATAGCAAAAAATTGTGATCAAACTTGCTAATCTCAAATGAAATTATCGAGTTATTTTTTATTAATTTAGTATGCTGAAAATAATTCTCTTTTTACATGAGAATTTAAATTTTATTAGAATTACTTTAAAATGTTAAAGAAACTATCTTAACTTTTAGCATTTAAAATTGAATTATGAGTTAGTAGAAAGATCTGTCAATTTTATGTAAATAACTCTAATAAACAAACAAACACTCTACCAAACAAAGTTAAAGTCGAGCCATATTTTCCATCAATTTTAACTTATATTAAATATCTTAACCTCACCTCT